GCCTGGAAGCCGATCTTGGCAATCAGGTGCACGAAGATGATGGTCTGCACGTTCTTGAGCTTCAGGACCCCCCACATGATCCGGTACACGTCCCAGACGCCCTCCTCGTTCTGCGCACGCTCCTCGCGCTTCAGCAGCGCGAGGCCCAGCGTGACAATGATGAATGCCCAGCCCCAGAAGCTGAGGTAGTGGCCCAACTCCATCAGGCCCACGTCCAGCGGCGCCGAGCGGAACCAGCGGTTGGCGAAGTCGGGCGAGTTGAAGGCCAAAAAGACTGTGTATGACAGGAAATGGCCGCCGGTCAGGCCGACCGTTTGCGCGGTCGAGGCGTATGAGATGTTGCCAGGGGTCAACAGCGTCAGCGCCCAGCCGTCGACGGCAATGTCCTGCGTGGCGCACATGAGCACCAAAAAGAACCACCAGCGCGTAAAGTTCCAGATTGTGGTGCCGCCGGGTTGGCCCATGGTCTCCATCATGCCGTCGACCTCGGACCCGAGCCAGATCATGCCGAAGCCTGACAACATCTGGATCGGCAGGATCCAGCTCTTGCGGCGGCCCACCTTGGGGCTCCAAACGGCGTCCACAATGGGACTCCAGAGCAGCTTCAGCGAGTAAGGATACGAGGCGAGCGTGAACACGCCGATCTGGCTGTAGGACATGTGCTTCTTGAGCAAGAAGGGCACGGAGCCCGTGGCGAGGCCGAGCGGGATGCCCTGCAAAAAGTAGAGCAGGACCAGCAGGCCGAAATTCCGCTGGTCCTCCTTGGGCAGCTCAAAGAAGCCGTGGTTGTTGATCTTGGGAGTCGTGGGGACGTGGTCGTCCAGAGTAAACGATTCGCGGGCCATGAGGTTAGACGTCACGGCATCCGACTCCACGTTGCCGCCCTTACGGCGCAACTCAACGCCGCCGTTCATCTTGCCGTTGCCGTTACTTGGGCTATGGCCGTTGCCGTTGAGGCTTATATCGCCCGCGTTAATGGACAGGTGTAGTCTGCTCGACTTTCGCCGTATGCTTCCGTTTGTTGTCTTGTTTCCGGTTGTGCTCTGGCGTGAGCTACTCTGTCTTCTGGAAGGAGAAGGTGTTCTGTCTTCATCGGAGGTATCTATGGGAGGCCCGTCTACGTTGCGGGATTTGGAGCGTCGAGATCTGGCACCCATGTAGAAGTCGTCGGAATTGGCTAAGGGTCTCCAAGGTTTGGAATGGTCTTGCAGATAGCGAAGAGATATCGTGTGTTGGAAGTGTTTCCAAGGACAAGGAGAAACTGGAAGGGAAGTGGTGACTGGCGGTCGTGGAAGGTAGTGGAGAGCCAGGTGCAGATAGCACAGATTTGTAAAAGCAATGATGCTTGTTGTGGGAGTGCTGATAGGTTGTAGTGTCCAGCGTGGTTGTCGATGCGAAGCTGCAGATCGTAGATGCGGTCAAGTTGTGAAATAGCAGAGATCGTGTACGGTAGGTTCCGGTATGTTGGTAGAGAATAAGGAGAGGATCGAAGATGTCGAGAGACTGTCGAGCAGAAAGAAAAGAACACGGCTGAGAGGGTCGCAACGTGGCCAAGACGCTTCGTTGGCCTATTGGGACAAAAGCTTCTGGAAGGCGGGACAGAAGAACGAGAAAAAAAAGAACACGGCGGCAGAAGGTGGGCAACCAGCCTCAAGGGGCGTCGATCGTCAAACCGTCAAATGCACGGCCAGTTAAGGGGGGCGACTGTCTGGGGTGTGCGAGAGCCTGTGTGCCGTGTAAGTGGATGTGAAAAGGACAGTGGGTAAAATGCAAAGCGACAATGTGGTGCCTAGGAAGCCTCGGAGGGCTGTTTTGTCCGGCGGCGGAGCATCCGAGTACCTTTTTTTCTTTGATTGGAAATCGGCAGCTAAAGCAACCGTGGCCTCAGTGTCAACGCGGTGGCAAACGGAACGGCGCCAAATAGGCGGCAGGCCGAGAGTTAGACCTGCCCAACGAACGAAATCTGGCAGGGAAAAACAAGGCTAAAAGCGAGTGGGTGAGGGGTGCTGCAACGGGGCTGTCTGCAGCCTGCGACGGGAGGGTTGCTTGAAGCCCTTTTTGACACGTCACGATGCCGTTGACGTCGAAGCTGAGGACAGGGGCAAGGAAAGAACGAAGAAAATAACTGGCTTTAGAGGAAGGTGCCAGCAAGGCAAGAACACGCCAAATACCAAATCGGGCAATGGCATTTGTGGGGGAGGTGCGACTGCACGTGATTCTGATACAGTTCAGGGGGCCTGCCAAGTGCTACCATTGGCTGTTAAGTATTTTAGGGGAGCAACGCGCCCTAGAGTCTACGTTACAGGGGAGCGATTCTAACTGCCACTTAAACCCTGTTCAGCTTAGTCATTTTGGCAACACGGCTGACCCCCAACAGCTGTCTAGGACCTTTATCGCGACGCGTCTCGATGTCTCTCACTTACAGCCTCTCACAGCCTTGCGCAGCCCCAGCAACCAACCATGGCATCGACACTCGATGATGAGATCGAGCAGCTCCGCGAGAGGGGTAAGTGGGGTAGGATTTACCGTACTGTTGACAAAAACAAAACATTTACTAACTGTTGTCCAGCTGCGGACTTGAGAAAACAGCTACAAGTCCAGACCTCCACACTGCTCTCCGCATCGAGAACTCGCCAGATTCTCAATGGCGACAGCCATCGCGATGCCGCCACAAGAAAGAAGCTGTTGAAGCTGTGCAACACCCACGATGCCCACAAGCAACAGGGTCTCTACCGCGCAGGGGCCTCCGTGACCGCTTTCCGCGTTCGTGACCCGGACCCAAACGCCGTGGACGGCGGGCGCGTGCTCGGCCTTCGCTTCGACGTCATGATGGGTGCGCAGTTTCTGCGGCCGTACTACGTTCTTCTCAACCGTGACACCGACCGTGCCCGCCCGAGCGCCCGCAGCCGAGGTCAATCCGATGCGCAAGCACCGCTTCGCGTGCACCGCCATACTGTCCCGCCTTCTGTTCCGCTCGGCGGTCTTGCAACCCGGCATCTCGGCGCCACCCAGTACGCGCCCTCGGGGCCCAAGTCGCCAGACCTGTATGGGTTTGCACGTGCCGCGCGCAGGGCCCTCGTCCGCTACCATAACCGCCTGGCCGTGATCGGCGACCTGCGCAAGAGCGTACAGCAAAGGGCCTCGAAGGTGGCAGCCGAGGCCGCCAGCAGTGGAGTTGGTATCGACGCCAGTACCCTTCTTGCCGATGTCAGCGGTGCCGACGCCGAAGCCAAGCAGATCCGATTCGACTGGGCCGACGGGCGCACGGGCCGTCTTGTGCTGGACGACGACGGCGACATCCAAAAGATGGTCGTCATTGGTGCCACCGGTGCGCGTGACCGGGCTGCTGTGCGGGCTCTTCTGGCCGGTGAGAAGACAGCGATGGGCCTTGTTCAGCGGATGAGTGGCTCATGAGAAACGGGCAAGTGTCACTTTCTCATCAGCAAAGGCCAGCAAACATCAGCAAACGCCATCCAATAACCAAACAAGCGATTTGGACCGCACCCGACTTGCAACATCCATTGCATGCATTGCTTCTGGCTGAACGACCGCGACCAGTGCTGAAAGGAGCGTAAATTCCTGATGGTCCCGACTCTCCACAATTCTGCTCAACCACCGGCGAGTTCACGAACTAGCAAGGCAGGCCACCATGCATCTGCCGTCGGTGTACATGGTCCGCTGTCATAGCACAACGAAGCTATTGACAAGGTCACGCTTGCGAAGAATCGACTTCCCGGGCTTTTTGCACTGCCTCAATCTAATCCCTTCGGGTTATGGCTCAACAGACGAAGGCTTCGCAGGTTTCGAGAAGCAGGCCATTCGAGAGAGCCGGGCCTAGACCATAAGTACCAGTCGACTGTGTACAATCAACGAGATTGGGAAATGTGGGGATAAATTGGCGGCGATACTCGACGAGCAACGAGGAAACCTGGGGAAATGAGACTCATTTTGGGAAAATAGAGGTCCGCCCGCGATACGAGCGCCTGCCTTATATCTTGAAGCATCGAGAGCATTTGCTGCTATCATCATACCCGGAGCGTAGGCTATAGAAGCCGTCCCGCGGGTCGTGGCTTGCTCATCGGAAATGCAAATTCAACTCAGCATGCATTGCTAGGCCAACAGGGCGTATTTCCGGTTGAAAAAAGCCACCTATTATTATCATTTTCTATATCCTTTTTTCACTCTGTCTTGTCATACACTTCCACGACTTTATTTTTACCGGTGCTTTTCTTCTTCTTTTACCAGGTGTCCGACCACTGGTAGTCTATGACTCGTGCGCCGGCTGTTAATGGGCAATTATAGGCCAAGGCCAATATAATAAAATGAGCCAAGGGGACGAATAATCTCTGCCGCACTTTATGGCACGGTCGGTTCAACGCCCTGGGAAAGAAACAAATGAGAACGACGGGAGAGAAAGACAATCAAATAGAGACACGGGGGAGGACATTAAACATTTTATGCACACGTGTAAAATCGGGCCTAAAGGAAGAACAACGAGACAAACGAGTTGAGAGGGAGGGAAACAAACCATTCCGGCTTTGCGAGTGTTACCTGGATCTCACCGCTATTGTCTTTCATTACAGTGTGGTCTGTCAATACCAGGTAGTGCCTTTCTGTGATGAATTGCGGTATCAGTGTCTGTCGTCTTTTGCATCGCAGAACTCACCTTGTTCGCGGGATTTATCACTCTCAAATAGGGCTTTAAATAAACATACACTGGATTGATTGGCACTATTCTAGGTTGCTTTGACAAGAAAATAAATACAACAGAATAAAAAACAAAACTATGGTCAAACACGAAGATGAAATATGGTTGATTGCAGGGAAAAAACGAGCGAAGAAATACTCACACATATTCAGACCGGAACCACTTTCCTCTGTATTCCATCCAACAAATGGCAATGACCTCTGTTCCCAATTGTGACTTTTGATGTTTTAGTTTTGGTCGTATAGAAATTGGACAGGAGCGCTCTTTCGCGAACTTTCACCCCTTATTTTAATTAGAAAAGGGCGGCAACGGCAACGGCTGCGGCAACAGCGCCGGCCGCACCGAGACCGTTGTGAGCAGCGCCGGCCGTGACAACGACATGGGGAGCAGATGTGGTCGGGGTCTTGGGGGCCGAGGTGCCGGAGCCAGCAGCAGCACCGCTAGGGTGAGCAGCCGAGCTCCAGGCCTTGGACGCCGGCGCGGAGGCAGCAGGGGCCGAAGAAGCCTCAGCAGCAGGGGTGCTGGCTGCGGGGGCCGGGCAGACGGGGCAGCCGGGGAGGAGGAGGCGGCCGGGGCGCTGGTGGGTGCGACCCAAGAGTTTGCCGGCGACGAGACGGCAGGCACGGCGCTCGATGTGGGGACAGAAGAGACAGGACACACGGTGGTGCTGACAGCCACGGTGACGGTGGTGAGGACGGTGCTCTCGGCCGGGCACGACGTGACGGTGGGGTGGCAGCTGATAATGGTGCTGGTCGTGGTCGAGAAGATGGTGCTCGTGGTCAGCTCGACACTCGGCAGCAGCTCGCCGACGGGCGTCGTCGTCGGATGCGCGTGGATGGTGGTGGAGGGCACGAAGAAGCCCGTGCTGCTGTTCGGCTCGTCTGAGCAATCCTCACCGTCACCACCGCCGGGGAAGTTGAAAGAATCGGTGGCCGTGGCGAAGGCAGCCAGGGCGAGGAGGGAGGCAAGAGCGGACTTCATTGTGAACGTGAAGCGGTATTAAATATATAGGTGTAGAGGTATAAGGTTTGTTTGAACGAAGACGATGGGGAGACACGTGAAGTGTATGAGCAACGTGTATTATTATGGATGTTTGAACGAATGACTGGTTAACGAGCGGTGGTAGACTGAAGACAGTGAGAAGGGAACATGTGTAATCGTTTGATAGGAGCGAGAGAAGAGAGGAGAAGGGTAGTGGCAGTGGGGGAGACGGTGTGCCTTTTATCTTTTCACCACCGCATGGCTGGGGCCTACTCATCGGCCGGAGAACAGTCCTTTCGTCCTTTCGCGCCGGCAGTAGACGTAGAACAAACGTCGCCTGCGACGAGGCAGGGCCTAGGAACAGAACAGTGCGGCCAGCAATTGAGAGGCCCGCCGGGGCGATGAGACATCGCAGTGCGTCTGTGTGTGAATCCACCAAGTATTACGTCGTAGAGGGTCGGTGTAAAGTGCGATGCAACCTGATTTGGACGGGTTCCTTGAGCCACCTTCACTGGAAGGATGCGAGCGGAAGCAACAGGCTGAATGTCCAGCACTTGTCAGTTCCTGCTCATCTCGTGTGTGCCAAGTCATTGTTACCTGGTGCATGTGCCGCTCGACCGTCTGTGTCTGCTGGATGAGGCCGATGCCAACAACAGCGCAGCAGGGAACCTCGCCATATTTTGCAGCGAGGTGCAATATAGCTGGAGGACTGGGTGCAAACACAACATCGAGACGTGCGTGCGGATATTGCGGCGCCAAATTCCAAAATTAAACACAGGACATGCTTTTGACAAGGACAGTCCATTTGGTTGGCTTAGACCGATCGCTTCTGCAGTCTGCAGCGGGTAAATCGCGATGTCTGATGGGAGGGTGGGCGGATGCAGGGGGCCCACGATGGGGCCGAGAGAAGCGCGCAGACGCTCTGGACATGGTGCCCACCGCAGACGGGTAGATCGCTGGCAGGTACTGAGTACGCTTCTTGGTGGATGCGTGCTTCCTTTCCTTTTTTGCCGTAATTCGCACAACTCTCTTTTTCTTGTTTTTCTCGTGCAGAGAACGACTCAATGAGACGATGTGCCCAGATTGACTGCCGCGCGGAAGGTCCGTCAAAAGGACTTAGGAAGTAGAACCGTACACCATCAGCGAGAAACAACGCATCTGTTCCTGCATTAGATACTGTGCCACCTAACCAAGTATCTGCCGAGCAGCTCAGCCATCTGGCCACTGCGTATCTTTCACTTTCGTCATGATCGACCGCAGGCAACAAAGCGTGCTCTCCTGTGTCCCAAGTAAATAAATGGTGCGGCGCTTACGGTTGGTTGTGGTGTGGCTAGAATGGGCCTGGCCAATGGCTGGCGCCCCTGTCAGCTTATGCGTGTGAAACGAAACAGACTGGTAAAACGAAACATAAAAACTATTCAAGGTAAACAAACGGTAGACGTTTTATGTTAAGGTTTAGTCTTTTCTCGTGTCTCGGTCTGCCACCTACTCCTCACCTGCCTTTGACACCAACGTGGCAAAGTCCGGATCTTCTTTTGTAAAGTTGTTTATAACTTGACTCTTCCACTCCGCGTATCGGTATGGTACGTTTACTTCATTGTCGCCGCCCGAAAAAGCACTTTGTAGGCCACGAAACAGCGGCTCAAATTCATCCAACGTCGTCGGTAGGCCGCCCGTCACACACCAGTGCTGCCAAATCATCTCGTCCACTGCGCGAGGACATCAATTCAGCGAACAAAGTCTCATTGGCTGCGAGAATGTTGCTTCCCTCGTAAAACTCGCCGACAGGCCACAGCATACAGGGTGAGCTAAACGCGTAAGGCTTCGCCTCGACAGATGCCTACTCCCAGTCAATCATTCCGGTGATGTTGAAATCGGCATCGACGAGGAGGTGGTCCCCCTTGTCATCATAGTGTTTAAGGTAGAATGGCCCATTGTTGCTATGTTCGTCATCGATGAGTTGTGCGAGGGCTTGTTTTCTCCATAGAAAAGAGAGGTAATTGTCGACGCGAAGGGCACCGTACTCACCGTTGTCCAGCATTGCCATCTGATGACCAAGTATGGACATATATGCCGCGGTCAGTGCCCGAAAAGGGCCCAGTGCTGACGAGGGTGTAACAATGTATGGCGCCTGGACGAAGCTACCGACGTGCACATCCTTCTTGTCTGCGGAGAACATCAAGCAGCCAGTTTGCGGCAACGGATGCTTTTCGAGCTCGAGGTATATATCCACGAGCTGCTCCAGCACGTGCTTTTGCTGGGCCGGGCTGGTGCTCGGCCAGTCCAGCGGCGTGCCAGGCAGCTTCTCCATCAGGATATATGGAGTTCCGACCGGGTTGGCTGCCGTTGATGCATAGGCATACACGCGTGGTGCCGGGACTTTAGTCTTGGCGAGAAAGTGCAGTGTAGCTGCCTCGCTTTCAATGACCTTTTCTTGCACACCGGCCGGCGGCAACAGAGGATCATCTAGCCGTAACCGGGCGAGCCACGTTACGCCATCCGTGAACACGACGTCTACGTGTGCGTTTTGACCGCCACATTGACGTGACACGGTTGATAAGCGGGTGGCTTCGTTCAGGTCCTGCGACAAAGCTGGAATACTGCAAGAAATTCCATCACGCGCTCGCGTGGCAATTGCCTGCAGCGCATCGACGTTAACCCTGGCAAGCAGCGCCGACAGATACTTCTTTTTGGCAGCGTCGTATGCAGCGAAGAAAGCGTCTGGATCTCTTTCCTGCAATACGTTAGTTTTGAGAACATAAAGTATTCTCCTGTGGATATTGGCTCACTCTGGTCGGGCAGGCGTGGCTCTCCGGACGCATATGGTTGACACAGAAATGCTGCTCACACAGCATGCAGCTGCCGTAGAGACGGTCGGCTGGCCTGTTGCATTCTTCCCTCGTACACTGTCGAAGGCATTTAGGGTATGGCATTTTGTTTTGTTGTCAAGACGAAGATGTCAGTATTGGCCGCGAAATATGCGGGGGTGAGACGGCTCCCGCTGCACTCTGTCAAAAACAAGATGCTTTGACCAAGATCCTGCTGAAAACAATATGTGGCTGGTCATACGACAGATGAATGCAGGCAATATGTGCAGATGTGGTGCTGGTTTCTTGTTCTTTATCCGTCGCATATCAGCCGTCTTCTAGAATGTCTTGTGGAAGGAGATCGACACAGTCCGCTGGCATGTTGACAAGGATCAGAGCGAGAGGCGTGGAACGAGATGCCGTACATCGTACTCTCAAGACACGTTGTTGTTAATGATAGCTGGACAGGAATCAAAATGGTGTCGAGAAGATAGGTTCAGCATCATTGTTGTCCTCGATAAAAATATCGTAGTAGCGAGGCTGGTGCATCGTTCTTGCCCATATTTCTACAAGTTGTTCAGGCAAGAGCGACGAGCAAGAAAGACACGAACTTTGGCAAGACCAACGTCATCGGGAATGCGACAGTAGAAGGCACGTTGACAGGCAGGAGCTAACGTCACAACGGCCACGAGTCAATCTGCTGCAGATTCTCGGCGTCACTTGTGCTTGAAATGGTTAAAAGCCAACCTTCTCGGCATGTTATGACGTCTGCGCACTATATCGTTCACGGCAAAGAGGCACGAGTGCGTTATATGTTTGAGCGTCTTTCAGGCAGAGTTTGCTTGGTCGCTCGTCTGGCGAAGCGCTCCTTCCTTGGTTGTTTTCGTCAGTCCCTATGACGGAGCCAGTTGGAGTTCATGGAGGCCGTGGAGCTTGTGTAGTGGCTGGTTTGGCCCCAGCTGCCACCCACAACGCGCTAGAATACAGGACAAGCCCTAGCACCGGCCCGCAGTTAGAGGCCAGGAGGGGCAGTGCTTGCTAAAACCGGCACCCACCAACTTTACGTGTTTCGTCCCTCGACTTTCCCCCTCTTTCCTGCGTTCGTAGGATTTTCGTCCTTGCCCAACCAGATCCAGAATGCCAGAGCCTGGGTGCTGTTTGCTCTTGCCTTGTCGGGCTGCAATTTGCTGCAACTGAAGAGGTAAAATCTTGCTTTGGGATGACATCGTTAGCCTTGTAGACCCATTGTGCCTTCCCATCTCCGCAACCTGCCTGCGCACCTTCCCTGCCGCCTGGTTTTTCTTCCTTTCTTCTCTTCATCCTCTTGCCGCCTGTTTAGGCCTGGCCGATGCTCCTTCCTTGCCAAGCCGAATCTCTCCATCTGTCTCACGTTCACGTATTGCCCCTCCCCCTCAGCCTTTCTCCGTCGTTTGAATCCTTTGCTCCTCTCCCGTCATCTCCAGCAAAGCCAAGTCAGCCGCACGCAAGTTTCGCCAGTCACGTCTACTAGCTACATACACCGATAACGTATCTTTTTTTGCATTGCCTCCCTCGTGCTTGGCCGTTTAGTATACGTTGGCATAGGCTTTCCCCCCCTCGTCGTCATCATTTGCATCGTCATTCAGCCTCAACCGATCAGCGCTTTGTTTACTTTCACCCGACCGAGCTCTTGTTTATTGTTTTCGCCTCTGTTACGTTTCGGGCGTCAGTCTCCGGAGACCTACGCTTCACAACGCCACCCTTTCTGCCCACCATGGCTCACCGGAGCCGTGATGTGATCGACGAACGCGACTACTTGGACGTGCGTGTTCGCGAGCGCGAGCGTGACGTTGACCGGGACCCTTTGTCCCGCTACTTCCAAGAGGATCGGCGCAGCGATTCCGGTGCTCTAGTTCTGCGCCAGCGTGAGGTTGAGACGGTCGAGCGGCCGCGGCAGCGTGCACGTTCACCAAGCCCGGTCCGCTACCGCGAGGTGATTCGGGAGCGGTCCCCGTCGCCGCTGCCGCCCCCGCGTGAGCGTGAAGTGGTCGATCGTGTCGAGGTCCGGGAGCGTGTGTACGACCGAGAGCGGGAGCGGGACCGGTATCGGGAGCCATCTCGGGGACCGCAAGACCGCATTGTGACTCGCGTTATAGATCGTGAACGAGAGCGGTCGCCGACTCACTCTCCAGAGCGTGACCACGAACGTATCCGCATCATTGAGCGGTCTCGTGGCCCATCTCCGAGCCCATCGCCGCCTCCGCAAGAGCAAAGACAGTTGGTCCGGGGCCCGGTTGTGGAGCGAGAAGTAATTACACACTACACGGATGTGGACCATGGTACGTGAAGCCATTTTGCAGCTTATTCCCGGTTCATTCTTTCTGCACGGAAGCTCATGTTGTTTCTACATATTAGGCGTCGTCTACGCACCCCGTGCCCCCCCGAGACCGGAACCGCGCCGTGAGCGCGAGCGCGAGCGTGACACAGAGATCGATATCTACTCCTCTCGCCATCGGACCGAAGTCGACATTCAAGACCGCGAACGGCGACGGTCGCGTTCCCGCTCACGTCTGCGGGCACCTCCGGCCCGCGCGTCTGAGAAAGAAGTGATTGTGCGGTCGGACCGCCACCACTTAGAGGTCGATATTGACGAGCGTCGTTCCCGCCGCTCTCGGTCAGCCCAACCACCGACGCGCGCAGATCGCCGGTCTGACGCCGTGGCTGACGAAGCGAGGTATATTGAGAGGCGCATCGATGACCGGGGACGTATGGGCGAGGCGTACAATGGCGCCACCCAGGACTGGACCATTATCGATGTGCCGCCGGGCACGGAGCATGTTCGTATGGACGGAGTCGGTGGTGCCTCCGCAGACGTTACTTGGCAGCGCTATAACGGGGTGCGCCGAACGCGATTCATCCCGGAACGTGAGGGCGAGGTTGTTGCGCCACCGCGGCGGAAGCGCCGGGAGGCGCCTCGCGAGCGTTCGAGTCGAGGTGAGCATATAAATATCCAGGTCGTTGACCAAAAGAGCAGCCACAGCCGTGACCGAGAGATCGAAGTGGAGACCGACCAGCGCGTGGTTTTACTGCCGGCCACGCATATGGAGCTGGTGCCAGCGGCTCGGAGCGACATGTGGACGGAGATCACCAAGGACCTTGTCTCCCGGGAGGCCCTCGACTACCTTGGATACGACTACCAGGAGACGGAGTACTTCTACTACATCCTCCAATATCTGCGCTACGTACGTTCCCTCTCTCCTTCTTCCCCCAATCCCTGTAGTTATTCTCGATTTGCTAACAACTGTTTTAGGAGGACGTCCAAGAGCTTGTACAGCTGTCGGACCGCATTCGTCGCCAGCGCCACAAAGAGCAGTACTCTGAAGTTGACATTGATATTGATGTCAAGCACAAGCACAACCGTCGCAGCCACAGCCACCACCGGCCCCGTCGTGAGGATGAGCGTTACTACGAACGCGAAGTGGTCGTCGATCATCTACACCCCGGCTACTACCGGTGAATATTACGATGGAAATCAATATGTGCAATGGTAGACTGCGTCTTGGCGGATAGCAGGTCGTGGGTTTTCAACATTTTTTAAGATAATGTTGTTTTGTCTTTGGTTGCTTATGAACAGCGATAACGATTTATGATATCATCCAGCACAGCACATGTCAGCGAGGGGAAGAGGGGTGTGTTTTTTGCTTTCCGATTTCAGGTTGTTTATGTTTGGAAGACGTGCCATATAGCGAACATCTAGGTCATAATATACTTTATAAAACGAAATCAAGGTGGCACTGTTTGATGAGAAGCAGTGATATAACATAAGCCATGACGGGATGCGCTAGTGATTGCACATATCATGGCAGCCCGTCACATGCATTGCAGAATGAAATATTGCATGAAATCGACGGCTCTTGTCACTTTACAATGTCAACGAAAAGAAGCTGCCTCCATTAAAGAGCGCCTCCCGGTGAATAGTAATTTAGACTTTTTTTTCTTGTATAAAATTTTGGGGTTTGGGTTTTCGTCTTGTTCGAGACGAGACAATGGAAAGGAAAAAAACAATGAACAATAGACAATTTTCCGTTTTCCGAGAAAGATGTACCAGTCAGCCGCGCGCCTGTTCTCTCCAACAAATGCCGCATAACCTCTTCTTCCTCATTCCGTCGTATCTCCCTCCTCCCGCTGTCCCTTCCATACAAATCGGAGTCTAAAATTGGAATGCACGCATGGTACATATCTCGCTGGATGTAAAAGTCGCCCTCCCCTATATTCTGCAGACACACAATGCCCGTCTCAGATCAAGGCCTGGAGAGCAAAAGGGTAGCAGAATGGGTTGTGAAATACGCTCGTATTTTCGGCCGGTCGGCTATCCTGTGAGAAACAAGGCGCGTTCCGTTTTAAGATTCGTTGCTGATAGGTCGGTTGGCGGTTCAAAAAAAAGTGATAGTAGGTGGCGGTCGATGGTGGATGAAGGTGGGCGAGTGTGGGTAGAGTGATCGGGTTGGATGGAGTTTTTATAGAATTTTTTTTGAGATGTCGTTAAATTATGTGACGAAGAAAGGAGAAGCAAGAATGAGGGCGGAAGAGGGTAAGCGGGCATAAACACAAAAAGCAACACAAAACAATAAGAGATCAAAACGAGACAATACAGAGAGAAGCGAGCAAGTAAATGCCGTTCTGTCTGCTCGTCATGCCCTCATCCCTCACCGTTTTCAGTTCCTTTATGCGCTCGCCTTAACCTTGGCCAGAGCCTTGCGCTCCTCGAAGCGACGCTGCTTCTTCAACCGCAGAACCTTGAAGCGGTCGAAGTCGGTGAGGGCCTTCCGCCGCTCGTTCTGGACGCGCTTCTTGTACCAGTTGCTGGCCTTCCACTGGCCGTCGACATCGGCCTTCTCCCAGGCAGCCTTGACGGCGCCGGCCCGTGCGCCACGGGGCAGCTTCTCGATAACAATCGCGGTCAGGAGGACATCGGCGAGGGCAACGGATTGCCGGGCGACGCCGCCGGGGTTGGCATCTGTTGCGGGGCCGTCAACAAGAGCCTGTTGGACATATTGTTAGCTTTGCGGTCCGACTTTGCAAATCGACTTCACTTTCACACCATCCGATTTTCCGTGCCACCACTCGGCCCCAAGCAGGACTTGCACCCTGACACTCCTCTTGTCCCATGCCTTGTGGCCTCCCGTCTCCACGGCTTCTCAGTTGGAAGATAGAACGCACCCGCTTGTGGTCGATGATCTCGACAATGGTAGCCAGGCGGCCGGCCGACGGGCCGCTCTGCAGAAGAACAACCCGGCCAACCTCGACGAGGCGCCACTTGGAACCGATGATAGTTGCGTCTCCCATCTTGATGTGAATGTCGGATAAAAGATCTGATAGTAAAGAACAGTACAAAAGCGTCGACGGCGTTAGTTAATGCGCAAACAAATCGGTCGAAAACAGCCCAGGGCGGTGCGGTCGATGTCGAAGAGGATCGGGGTGTCGAATAAATGCGGCGAAATGTTGTGGGAAAAAAAGGGGAAACTCACGAATCTTCTGTCGCGAATTGGTTGTCGTGGATGTCTGGTTGTGAAGATGTTTGGAGGCCACAGCAAAACCAAGAAAAAAGACGTGCCAGTGACACTTTCTCCGAGCGGGCAAAGGCGGTTTGGTGCGCTTTGCAAAAATTGTTCATCCTGCCCTAAGGTTGCTCCACTGAAATTTTTCTTCGCTCTGTATTTCGGCTGCACGGAATTTTGTTTTTGCGGACGGCGACTCTGTACCAGGACATACTGTGTTACTCACTAAATTGCACTATGCGGTCTCTCGCCATCACGAAGTTCTTCACAACTGTGAAACTCTTCCATTTACATGACAGTTACAAGGCAACGCAACAGCCTTACTGTATCTCTTTCCACGTTGTCTAGTAATGTGTATAGAATATAACCGATGATAATAAAATGCGATTGATTATATAGACATTGTTTTGTTATTACAAAATCCATACACTTCTTTCCTAGTATATAGTCACGTGCTGAGGTACATAGAACTGTGGCAGAGTACACTTGTGCGCTGATGTACCTCTTCTCCCCGCCATACCACAGTGTTGCAAGAAAATCGCTGACGCAATTACCTAATCGGGGCTAGCGTGCAGCCACAGAAGCCCTACCTTTTCCAGTTTTCAAATGCTCTCTGTCTGTTTGTCGAGAGAAGCCTGACGCTTTGAACGGAGAACGCATCGTCCAAATCACGACCACCCACCCCAATTACTTTGTAAGTTGAAATACGCATTGTCTGTGCAGAGTTCTGGACGGATATTCGGGCGCTGAGAAGGCGTGTGCCGTCGACGTCCTTTTCTCGCTCGTTGGCCGCCGGCTGTGGCATCACTTGCGAAAAATAGAACAGACACGAGCTACAATTTCCATGCACTCCACCCCCTCTTTCTTGCCAACCTACACCCCCAGACGTTCCATGCCACCCATTGAAGCCGACCGCATCGCAAAGCAAGACCATACCCGTTGACCAACTGCGTCTAGTTCATCGATTCCTTCCATCCATCGTCAAAATGGCCAACCCCCGTGTCGAGGAGCTTCCGGACGACGAGCCGACCAACGTCAAGGTCGAGGAGCAGGATGAGGACAGCAGCGATGCGGAGTCCGACATTGAGGTCAACGCCCCCTCGGGCTCGACCACGGTCATCCACTCGCGCAACGAGAAGAAGGCCCGCAAGCTGCTGGAGAAGCAGAACCTGGTCCGCGTTGAGGGCATCACCCGCGTGACCCTGCGCCGCCCCAAGAACGTACGTCGAGGTCGAAGAGAAGGAGAAACAAACACAGAGAGAGAGGGAAAGAGAAAGAGAGACAAAGGACATGGAAGAGAACAACAACTAACTGGTCAGGTTCTGTTCGTCATCAACAACCCCGAGGTCTACCGCTCGCCCAGCTCTGGCTGCTACATGTAAGCTTCTGCCGTCCCGCACAGCTCCGCTTCACGCCACTTGGGTCAGGGCAACCCCAACTAACTCTGCCCAGCGTCTTCGGTGAGGCCAAGGTCGAGGACCTGAACGCCTCGGCCCAGCAGGCGGCTGCCCAGCAGCTGGCCAGCCACGACCACGACCACGCCGGCCACGACCATGATCACGACCACGATCATGACCACGACCACGGCGCCGAGGAGGGCGCCAAGAAGGAGGAAGAGGACGATGACGACGAGGAGGTCGACGCGACCGGCATTGAGGACAAGGACATTGAGCTCGTCCAGACCCAGGCCGGCGTGTCGCGCAAGAAGGCCATCAAGGCGCTGAAAGAAAACGACAACGACATTGTCAATTCGATCATGTCGCTGAGCGTGTAAAAGCCCTCGGCCCGGACAGCCTCCACGACAGCAGGACCGATACGCAGATGAGGTTTTGTTGCAAGGAGGAGAGCTTAATTGCTTCCTCTGACCCGGCTCTTCTTGACGTCGACTCCGCTGGGGTGTCCGTTTTACTTCTACAGCTATATTTACAATTAAAAGAATCCATTTTGAGATTGATGAGCTTCCATGCACTTCTTGTCATGACTGTGGTGGACTGTACTTTGAACATCGGAACGTGGAATTTTAAAATGTGTGGGGCTGAAGAGAGAGATATCATGGCAGAGCTGTTGGAAGGTGCGAGCCGGCTGCTCCTGCTATGTTGGCACTAGAATACTCGACGCTGATTCGCTTCCGGCGGTCCGAGGTAGGAGGTGGCTGTTTGAGACTGCCACCGGAGTCAACATATCGCCAACAGCTGTACAACAACGCTGGACCGATTATATGTTGAGATCATAAAAAAAAAAAAAAAACTTAATCATACATACCAGCATCTTCCATTCAATGCTCTGCTTTTGGTGGTTTCCTCGGCGTAGATGTTGCGCTATTTAATCACGTGATTGGTCAGACTAGCCGGAATTTTCTTAAATGGCAACCGCCCTAGCTTTTCCGAAGCGCAGGAGCGAAGGAGGGAAAACTAGACTCCCGAGCCGTTGTCGTCCCTTTTGGCCAAAACTTGGACCAAAAACCACAGGCATCTCACCACCTCTCCTCTCTCGCCGACAACACCCCATCCCCCGACTCCCCGAACTCTCGAATTTCATCATGGCTGCTGTAAGTTGATAGTGCTTTTGCGACGGACGGCGATGGCATGGTCCAATTCGCGCGCCGCGGCTGTCCCGAGACAATTCGAAGTCGATCAAATTCGCGCGCGTCGAAAACCTCTCACGACAGATTGCCCGATGACGACGCCTCCACGCCGACCGTTTTGCTAACAAGAGCGTCTTCTTTTGTGTAGAGATCCGCTGCCCTCAAGCTCGACTGGGCCAAGGTGACGACGTCGCTGGGCCTGCGTGGCCAGACGGTGGCCTCGCTGCAGGCGTTCAAGAAGCGCAACGACGACGTGCGGCGCAAGGTGCAGGCGCTGTCGGAGCAGCCAACGACGGTGGACTTTGCGCACTACCGCAGCATCCTCAAGAACTCGGCGGTGGTGGACGAGATCGAGAAGCGCTTTGCGGCCTTCAAGCCGGCGTCGTACGATGTGAGCCGGCAGCTCAAGGCCATTGAGGCCTTTGAGGTCGAGGCTGTGCGCAACGCCGAGGCCACCAAGGAGACGGTGGACCTGGAGATCAAGGACCTTGAGAAGACGCTCAAGAACATTGACGAGGCCCGGCCGTTTGAGGACCTGACGGTGGACGAGGTGGCCGCGGCCGAGTCGTCGATTGACGAGAAGACGTCCAAGCTCGTGTCCAAGGGCCGCTGGTCCGTTCCGGGCTACAAGGTACGAAGACACGGCCTATCCCATGCGTTGCATGCTTCTTGTTCCTCTCGGAATACAATACAATGCAATACTAACAATCCCATAGGAGAAGTTTGGCGACCTGGCTCTGGTATAAGCGACGAGCGTTTCCACTTTCACCTTTACCGTCGTGACCGTTTTCCCCTTGCATCACAACACATGTGTACTCTAGCAGCAGCTGTGGAGATAGCGGAAAGAAGATAATATCGGGGAAAAAATACATTATTTCTTTTTCTTCCAAACGGCCGGGGAACGAACAGACCTGAGTATGCGTTTGCATTCACAGAACGCATTTGCAGCCGTCGACATCTTTCCTTATTACTCTTTTCCTTTGTTTATACATCATTGTCTCCCTTGCCCTCCCTTTGTCTCGTTTTCGAAAGCAAACAACACAATGTCTCTTCATTCTTTGGCCATGTGAGCCGCGCAATTCTGGCCGATGCGAACGTAACAGCGTTATGATTTGATTTATGTCTAACATGGAAACAAGGCACTGATGAACATACAAGCTTTGCTTGCCAGAGTGTGCTCGCCAGACCACTCTACCTACGTACGGCGCGTTTAACAAAGATGGCCACCGGAAACACCAAATACAATAGAAACAGTCAAAGGCCGACAACAGTCAAGAACAATCCTCGCGAACCCATAGGCTTCCAACCATTCCTGGAAAGACAAAAACAATAAAAGACAATCAGACAGAAAACGTCCCTGTGTACCGTTTTCCCGTTTTCCCGCTTCCCGCTTCCCGTTTCCCGTTTCCCGTTTCCCTGTTTCCCATGTCCTATTTCTCACTCACCTTTTCACTCACTCACTCTCCTCCGCAGTGTACGGCCCGCCTGCCACCCAGGCCAGACCGCGCAGCATGGCCTTGTCGGCCTCGAGGGCGCGGTCCATCCACGGCGTCTTGAGCCAGAAGGTGTGCGGCCAGCCGACGACCACGTCCACCTTGACACCCGCCGCGCCGGCCATCTGCAGCGCCTTGGCGTAGCACACGCCGTCCGAGTAGAGCATGTCGTTGGTGCAGACCTGGATCCAGTGGCGCGGCTGGGCGGCCAAGAGCTCGGTAGGGGCCTCGAGGGGCATGTAGGGCAGGTCGTCGCGGGGGATGCGGCGGCTCATGCGGCGGAGCAGGGTGGTGGCAAAGGCCGGGTTGGCGGCGGAGGTGTGCAGCGGGCGGAGGACGGGCGGGATGTAGTCCTCGCCGTTGAAGGCGTCGCTGGTGACGGGGCAGCGGAGGACGACGCCGGCAATGTCGCTGGTCGCGCGGTTGGTCGTGGCCGACACCTGCATGCTGGCCTTGGCCGCCTCTTGGGCGACAAACGCGGCCAGCTCGCCGCCGCTGGAGCTGCCGACGACCAGCAGCTTTGTCGCCGCCGCGTCCGGGTGGGCCGCACGGACGTGGCGGTAGGCGTCGATGCAATCGGCGACACACGTGCTGGCCGGGTGCTGGGGCATGATGCGGTAGCCGACGGAGTACACGACGAGGGTTGGTGTCTTTGGTGTCTTTGGGGCCGCCCCGTCTTGCTTCACAGCCGGCAGGCGTGCATCCTTGAGAATGCGCCGGCACGAGAGCTCCTCGCTGTCGGCCTCGCCAATGTGCAGTCCGCCGCCGTGAATGTACAGCACGGCATAGTCGGGGCTGTCGCTGTGTGCGGTGGTGTCTGTGGTCGTGTCCGTGGTCGTGCCTTTCGAGTCTCCCTTTGGTTGGTCTCCCTCTGGTTGGTCTTCCATTTGCTGGTCTTCCATTTTTTGGTCTTCCAATTTTTGGTCTCCCTCTTGTAGGAGGGAGTAAGCCAGCAGAGGAATCTCGGTGCCGTCGAGGGAGGACGTCACCGTCAACGGCTGGACACGAATACCATCAGCCAGGTGGCTGTCACGGGCGCCCGGCGCCGTCATGCGTGCGGTGAGCTCACGGCACTCGACAGCATACAAGGGCTGGCGTTCGAGAGGCGAGATGACGGGACTGGGATTGGGCAGGTTCTGGTCCCGCTCGTGTTGGAGCCAGACGGGGTCAAGGGGCGGCGGATCAGCGAGGACGAGATCGTCGAGATTCTCATCGAGATTCTCGACCGGTGCCGGAGGCGGTGACGGTGGTGCCCGTGGTGCTGGTGGAGACGGCTGTGCCGCTGGAGACGGAGGTACCGGTGGAGACGGCGCCTCAGGGCCGGTTGTCGGCAATGCATCTGGCGGAGCCGCCGCCTCATCTGAAGGCTGAGCCATTTCGGAGTGACGAAGAAGCGTGGGGAAGGGAGTACTAAAATAGAACGACAAGAAGAAAGCGTGATGAGAACAAAAATGAGCGCAACGAGTGCAATAGAAGCAAAGATCTAATAAAAAGAAGGTGTTAGAAGCCGTGTGTTTTGACAATCGTGCGGCAGTGGTGGCTGTCTGGTGGGTTGCGTCGTCTCCTCCAACCCGAACTAGCCAAGCAGAGATAGACTAGTGCTGTAGGTTTGGTGAGGAAGCAAGAGAGAAGCGTGAGAGTCCGGTTCTTCAGGGCCCAGGCCAAAATTTAGCAGCGCTAGCTGCGGCTGCTCCGTCTATTTCAACACGGGGGGACCCTCCTGACGGAATTGGGGCACCAGAAGAGCTAGACGAAGAGGACAAGGCGCGAGTGCAAGTGGTTATGGACGAGTGAAGGAATAGTGACGTGAATACTAAACGGTGAGTGATCTTGGGCTGTGGGTTGGGTTTGTGAAAGAAAAGTGAATCCCGTAAAAGGGGACAGACATGGTCGGACGAGGACGATTTATATATCCCAAGTCAATGTGAGAGTGAGGCAAAGGGAGAATAAGTCCAAAGGCAGCAGAACAGCAGCACGTGTCGCTTTTTGTGGCAGGTCTTTTTTGATATGTTCCCCTTTTTCGTCCTTTTCATTTCCTATTCTTTTTTTTTTTTTCTCTTCGTTCTTGTGTCTGTTTTGTTTGTAGGTTACTTTACCTCGCATGCTGGTGTGGATGATTCGTTTGCATGAGACGTGACGGGGAAAAAAGGACGAGTACGGAGGACACAACAGGACAAGGGCCAGCCAGGTCCGTCTGTGATAGGTGGACGGCTAGCCTCTGAGAGGACAAGATAGCAGTAGCTCGTATAAGAGGCTTCTCAGGGACGTAGGGAGTGCGGGAATGAGAAATGAGAAACGGGAGAATTGACCTGTGGAGGTCGTTGGACAAGGGGCCATCATGGTCACAAGAAACGGGGACGGGAAACACTGCAAAGTCTGTGCTGTCAAAAAGTACACTGTACTCTGTGTTTCGGTGGAAAATGTGATAGAAGTGAGTGAGGCCAGACTGCATACCTTTCTGTCACTGTCGAATTTGAATGGTGGTCGGTCTCGGATTCCGAGCTACTATTGACGGAATAAGGCGGTGAGTCGGCTGTAAGATGAATACTAGGACGAAGTAAATAAGAAGTGGTCCGTCTTGATTCATATATAAAAAAACGAAGTAAATTAGAAGTGGTCCGTCTTGATTCATAAAAAAAAAGATAAAAAGGACGAGGAGTTGGAGGATAAACATAGAATAGGGAAAGGGAAAAGAAATAGAGTAGGATCGTGCCGGGATTGAAAGTGTACGAACAAGGTGAAAATGAGCCGAAGCCAGCTGGACTCGGCGGAGTGGCACTTGAGTAAGAGACGGCGAGGGAGAAGGATCGACAATCACATTGAAAATAAACCAACCCAGTAAGCCAGCCTCACTGAGAAAATAGAAACCGGCAGTATGTCCGAGGTCAAGCAGGAGAGGAGCGTGTGCCTAGAAAGGGAGAGCACAAAATAAGGACGAACGCAAAGTAGACGCAAGAGGGGGAAAGAAAAAAAAAAGAAAAAAATAAGAAAGGAAATCAGAATTAAAAAAAAAAAATAGGAAAAGATGGTACGCGGAAACGGACCATCCGTACTTGGTTGCATGACCACAAGTCATGGTGGATGACCGACTACGGTCTGGAGACAAGGTGTGCCAAGGTGTAACAAGGTGAGGAGGCTGGTATGTTTGTGACGGCAGGTCTGAAAGGTTGATGGGTTTCTTTCAGATAAATTTGTTTCCATATTTCTTTACTCACCTCGTTGCAAGAACTAGCGTGTCGTCTCTTTTCCTCTTTTTCGTTGTATTCGTTTCAATGTTGAACTGTGCCCTTCCACGTCTATCGTCTATTTTGATTTTGATTTACTTTTCTCGACGGCTTCTCTTTATCCTTTCTCTACTCTGGCGTCACGGTGTACAGTGTGGCATTATTCCGCATGCAGCAAGGGAGTGAAGCTGCTGATTGTATTGCCAGCGTTCGATGAAGGGGGGGTGGGCTGGCGGAAAGATGAGGCGAATATGCGTGTTATGGGCATCTGAATGTGATTCTGCCTGTCTTTCCCTGGACCACGGTGGCGGGAATCATAAAAGAAAGAATGCAAATATGAACAAGAAAGTGACAAATACCCAGGAATGGGGGCGAGATGAGACGCCAATACAAAGGACTCCGAATGTCGTTTGGACACAAACAATTGCCTGGGAAGAAGGTGGGTAAGAGGTCAGTAAGTCGACTGAAAGCAGAAGCTGCCGAGGGATGGCGACCCATTCAGCTGGGTCTGCCCAACCTCTGCCCCCTGCCACAGGTACATCGCTATCGTAAGCATTAGACGACAGCAGCGTCTTTTTCTGTCTTTCTTTCTTTCTTTCTTCTTTTCTTTTTTTCCTTTTTTTTTTTTAAAAAAAAAGACAAGTGTAGGTTCACGGTAAACAGCGCCCTGTCTCTCATTCGTGATGTCTTTCCCTTTGCAACGAGAAACAAAACAGAGATCCACAGTCAACAATAGATGACGGCAACTACAGAGCTGAGTAGTTTGGTGGACAGATTCCAGCGCCTTCGAAACTCTACACACCGTAAAATAAAGCCCTTCTTTTAGGAGTTGTCGTTGGAGAGGGGGAAATATGGGAATATGTGGAGAAGACAAGGCGAATGGAACCGGAACGGTGGTATTGTTCGACAATGGGGAAACCGAGCGAAGCGAGAGACGGGAAACAGGACCGACGTCGATAACCGACGCGCTTTGGCTAGGTTTTGTCTTTTCTTTTATCATTGATTTATCATTATTTATTCTTGGTTTGGATGAATCTTCTTTGTTTTGACAGGTGCACACACATGCACAATGTAGTACAGCGATGGTGTCTCCAATGAGAGACTTTGAGAGTTACGAGGTTACATTGCTGAGACGAAACACAGATTGGCAAAGCATGGGGGGGATGTGGGCAACTTTTTGCGATTTCTGTGTTTCTCGGTTCTTGTTTCTAGAGTTTCCCGGTAATCTGGGAGTGTCTCGAATCTGGGCAGACTTGAGGAGCGATGTGACAAAGAGAAAAAGACGGGATAAACAGCTGGGGCTGAAAATGAGAGACATTTCAGGTGGTCCGGACAGGGGTCAAAGTGAGGCGGAAAAAGGAAAAAGTAAAAGAAAAGGAGAAAAAGAGGAGAAGGTGAGAAAACAAGCAAACGTCCCGCAAAGCACTGTCACCTATGCCAATGCATAACGCCAAGACATGCTTGATGAATACAGAGTATGTCGTACAAGGTGCCTGTGCAGAGACGAGGATGAAAGAAAGAGTCGTCTTGTAAAAACGTCTTATCTTTCCGCAAGATATGTTGTCCAGGTTGTGGTCGTTCTGCAACTTCCCATATTGAGCTTTCCTCGGGCGCCACGGCTGGAGTTTCTTTATTTTCGCTGTATCGCGGTCTCCGGAGAAAGGAAGAAGACCGCCTGGAATGGCCTGGAATGAGGGTACAGGGAGTGAGGCTGACCTCGATTCGCCTCGTTGTTGTCTTTGTTCGCGATCGAAGCCGTTTGTTTATTTTGCGTCCTGCGCCTTCACATGTACCGTTGTTATTATCCATTATCCCGGTCCCGCACCCCCATTTGGCTCGTTTGTAAGATACAAGTACATGGGCGGTCTATATTTCCAATAGATCGGGACTGCCGTTGGTGGTTCGAGTCGCTTTGGGGGCCTTGGAAGTTGTTGGATCTTGATCATTTTGGTGTGCCTTTCCTAAACTTCAGTGGGTGACTGTGTAGAGTGACGGTCGTGGGCGACTGTAGTGGTGTGGACAGAAGGCAGGTGCTGGTCCGTCTTTCCCTGTATTTCGAATCTTAGCACATTTTGCGGCCCTTCCTAGCGGAAGCCCCCGTAGCGCCCGTCCCCTGTAGCGCCCTGACAAGCCGTTTTAGCGGCACGACAGTGCATTTTTTCAACTGCGCCAACGCCGTCCAAGAAACGACAACAGTCGCGAGGAAGGGGGAAAAGAATAAAGGCCTGCAGATAGGGACCGCCCGAAGCACACTTGGCTGCGTTTGTCGTGTTGACGCTCCGACGAAGCTAGACCTACCTGGCCTTCGTGCATGTGCATCTTTACCCATCGGAGTGCAGATGAGGGGTGGGAGGGAAGGGAGGGTGAACGCAAGGGAAAAAGAGTCAAAGGTGACCCATGAGCCCATCTACCGGGTTGTGGGAATATTCCGTGGTCCGTTCGTGTTCAGTGGTGAGTGGGATCGAAACCCTCCTCGTATTTTAGCCTTTCCCAGTCCTCGCGTTGCGACAAATCACCTTTTCTGCCGATCCGGTCGACCCAAAGAAACAGAAACAGAAAGGACCCGACGCAAAGTGACCCAAATCATGACCCAATAAGAGATCTGGGAGGCCCAGAAAGCGACCCAGGCAAAACAAACGTGCACGGGACTCACACGAGCCACTTGAGGGTGGGCCAGATGAAAAGACACCGAGTGTGACCCTAAAACGACGCCTCGCAACCAAGAGGGCGTCCGAAATCCGTCCCCCCCCACCAAAAAAAAAGAAAGAAAAGAAAAGCACGGGATGAGAATGTAAAAAGGGTAAAGGAGGTACACATACAGACGGACACATATTTGACGGGGAAGGACGGAAATTTAGCGGAACACACCAAGTTCTTTGGCGGTTATTTCGAGGCCTGGGAAGGTGCGGAAAGAGCTGCGAGCTGCGGAAGTGACACTGCAACCGCCAACTGGAAATGTAACCGTACGACGTAATACGTCGTAATACTCTGTGCTTTGTGAGGAAGCCGGCAGGAACACAGCCAAAGATGTACGACGGACATCCTCGGCGGCCCAGAGCCGACCGACCGCAGATAAGAGAAGGATGAAACGTACCGTGTTTATGCAGTGACCATAGACGGACGACCTGGAAGACCGCTTGCAAAGGTACAGGTGGAATGTGGCATGTGTACGATGCAGCCGGCAAGGCGCGGTCATAGGTGGCGCCAATAGGGTGATGGCATTTCAGATGCGGCCATTTCTAAAGTCTGAAAAAGAAAGCAAAAGAAAATTAAAAAGAACAATAAAGAAACACCATGGTAGGACTGAAAAAGAACGGTAGCTCAAGCAGAACATACGGAGAATGAACACACAAACACAGCGTATTGCGTCGTACACAGGAAAAGGCAGGGAAACAGAAACGACAGAAGACAGAAGGTATCACAAGGTTGCTAAGACGCCGTCAGACCTTCAGGAACGCGATCGAGCCGAGGAGGGAGTAATGGATACATGATATACTGAAAGTGGAGAAGAAGAAACAAAAACGAAAAAGCAACCACAGCGCAGTTAGAAACGCCAGGATGGACCTCAAGGTGAACGGTTTAGGAAAGCAAACAAAGATGCAAGGATGTAGAGCACACGCAGGTGCGTGTCTCACCGCTCCAGTTCTGCCATGTCTTACTCGGTCTTGCCCTGGTTTGGGCCAATATCGTTAGGTTGCATGGTGCGTTCGGCCTACATGTCGTTGGCGTCATATGACTGCCACGACGACCCCCGAGGTGAGAGACGCCTCAAGCAACGGGCATGTTTCCCGGTTCTCCGTGAGGATTTCTGGTTGGGTTTCGGGCTGGGTTTATACCCCTTTATTGAAACCATAAAACAAAAAAACCAACAGTTGCAGCTGTTCTCATATGATTCTTTCGTACCCCACGGATATTATCTTCCGCCCAACACAAGGCCATGCTCGTATCAGACCTCTTTGCGTATATTTGTACGCTTTCTCGTCTTGGCCTCCTATTCGCACATCAATCGAAAGCCCGACAGAAGACACCTGTCACCTACCTCGTAGACTCTCGATGCTTGTTTCTTATCTTGTGACGGTTGTCATCTGTCGACTGTCTTCAGATCGAACTGCCGAGATCGGGACACATGTAACACCCTGTCGGGCGTGTCGCCGTTGGTGTACCAAGGTGTGTCGCACAAAAGACATATTCGTCGTATAGACGCCTGCCTGCATGCCGAGTGTACCAAAAAGGAAGCAGCAAAATGATGGAAGTTGGATGACAGAGGATTGACGGCGGTCTGACGGGCTTTGATTGTGCGTGTGGCCGAATGACAGTAGTCACAAACATACGATACTAGACCTTCGTTCAGTCACAGGGTCGACGACGCAATGTTCGGGACAAACATTGGGCAGCTGCCGTTGAGATAGATGGACCTATCGAAGCAATATCTTTTTGTCGTCGTCCCTCTGCCTGGCCTCACCTGACCTGACGTGATCCGACCTCTGGTCCTGTGCCGCTCCCGAGGTGCGTGAAGCGTCCGACGGGCCATCCCCGCAGCGTCCCATGCTGTCTAATCTCCCCTCAACCCTCGTTCCTAATATTTCCATGCCGTCTGATAGGATGCACCCTGTCCCGCATCCGACAAATAGAACGACCAAAGGAGGGCCAAATGCGACCTAGCGGATAGCAACAGCCAGTCGGCTAGGGTGTAACAACGGCCGTTATTAAAGCGCAAGGGCATTCCGAGAAAAAAAAAGACAAAGTGCATGAAAGCTGACCTCATTAAGTATTGTATCGTTGCAAATAGCCGTCGTTAAAACATACACCATTCGTTCCATGATCCGCCTTGCGTCACGTTCATGCTCATGCTCCTGTCTGGCAGTGCAATCAATCGTACTCCATGTCGTCAGCGTCGTTGCCTTCTCGGTCCACAAACGCCATATACGCAGCGTCGTCTTCCTCGGGGCCCATCACCCGCCGCCACGCCTCGCGGACCACCTCCAGGGGCGCGTCCTGCACCATTAGGTCGACGGGTAGCGGCGGGAAGCGGAAGACGCCCAAAGGGGTCTCTGGTTCTGGCTGTGGCTCTGGCTCTGGCTCGGCATCCGGGGCTCTCGCTTCCTCGCCCCTTGGCTGTTCGTAATACAAACTGTATAGGACAGGGATCGAAGGACTCTCATCATTGGCTCTACCCTCTGCATCACTGCTCGTCTCCTTTGCGAAGGCAACAAGTAGCGTCGTCAGCGCGCTCTCCAAAACGGCCTTGCTACCCTCGGTACGGATGGTTGTGAAGTGCAAGACACCTGTTGCGGTTAGTCTCCAGCCATTCGAGAGAATATCCAGTGGTCTATTGTGCCAAACAAAAGGAAGAGAAGAAAGCAGATCAGATCGAATATGTTCTCGTCAAAGCAGAGCTCAGACAATGTAGATAAGTTTTGTATGATTCATGAATCATCATGTAGCTTTAAATTTGGGTGGGTGGAGGAAAAATGGAGAAAAGGGTGAGGACAAAGGAAAAACAAAAGCGTGGGCTCGGACTCACTCTGACCAACTGGGCACTCTCCTGTGTCGCTGGAGTGTGCCATCACAAAGACCGGGTGCTCGGACGCTGCCCCATCGGCCAAAACCGGACGGCCAGCCGGCAACGCTATCACCGCGCCGCCGGCCACGGGCGCGCCCTCGACTGTCGGTGCAAACAGGAACGGCAACGGGGCACCAATCACGGCAATGAGCCGGCTGAGGTGCTGTCCACTCTGCTTGCTGGTCGACGCTGGCACATCCTCGGATGACGGCCCACCAATCGCTTCACTTCCACGCACGAGCAGCTTGGTCTTAACAGTCATATCACGCGTCAGCTCCAGCTCCAAGAGCTGGTCCTGTTGTGTGTCTCCCTCTACGGGCGCAGTGACGCTCACGGATTTGATGCCGCTGCCCAGCATGTAGATACCGCCGCCCACGGCCGCCGCACGGCACGCCACCTGCACGATCTCGCCGCATCCGCCCCACTTGGGATACACGGCCGCGAACCCGGGCCCGAACAGACCCATCGATGTGATGTGCCGGTGCAGCCGGGCCAGCCCATGTGCCACCGTCACGGCCGCACCGTCCAGCGACAGCGTCAGAGCGAGCACGTTGTCCCGCAGCCGATCGTCCAGACCAAACGACGTCTGCAAGAATGCGCCGAGCGGTTCGGACGCGTGGCTCTGCCACGCGCTGTCTCCGTCTCCCTTGTCGTCGCCGGTGTCCGTGCCATCAAAGGCCAGCACAAACTTGAGAAACTTCATGAGCTGGCGCTTGGCCCGGGCCGGCATGGCGGTGCTGGCAAAGACGTCTTCGCGCGTAGCGGGGATGCGGGCGAGGGACGGATTCGCGGGGCCGGACGACGAAGACGACGACGACGACGACTCGAGGACAAAAAACGACGATACAGCGAGGAACTCGAGCTGCCGAAATGCCCGCGACGACACAAGCAGCTCGACCAGGGTCGACCGCGCGTGCAGAAACTGCGGTGCCAAGGCGACCGAGTATGCCGACAGCGGTCCCAGTTGAACAGCACCGTCTATGGCGGCGGTCGGTCGCGCGGCCGACGCTTCCGGACGAGCCGCGGCCCATGCGTCGGCCTCGGCTACGCTCAGCGCGGCCTCGGACCCGCCATAGTACTGGTTCGGGTCGATGTGCAGAATGTTCTTGTTGGAGCGGGAAAGGGCTCTGTATCATATAAAGCCAAAACGTCCACGACAAAATCATAGGTCAGGGGCTACAGTCAGTCAGAAACAAGGACTCGGAAACGGCGCTTGGAAATCGGCCAAAATAGAGAAAAAGAGAAAAATCGACAGAGGAACGGCAGGCGAGGACACGTACAGCGCAAGGAGGGATTGTTGCAGCCCCGTGCCGCAGATGACAACATCCCAGATGGTGTCGGAAAGGGACTCCATGACTTGTTTTTGTAGGGGGTATCTGGGCAGTGGCTGCGCTGGGGAGAAGAAGAAATGAAGCTTTTCGACGCAGAAATTGAGACGTGAGACTTTCGTATGCGCAAGTGGGGCAGGAAGGCACGACCCAGTCGTCGAAGCTGTCCACGCTTAGCACGGATACACGTTTCTCCGGCATGGTGCCTGCCGAAAAGCTTTCTCACCACTTTCCAGTCCGTCCCTCCATCTCTTCTTTTCTCTTTTCTCCAACAACCCACTCTGCCACCGCGTGCGACGGCTGCTCAAACCACATGTTTACGTGTGTCGATGGCTCCCCGTGCTGCATTGCCGGAGCATGCGCGCCTTCACTGGAGCGCATACCGTTATGCTGCAGAGTGGGAGATTGACTGCCACTCCACCTGTATCTACTGCCCTTGATTTTAAGGGGCGACCCTCAAGCCTGTAAGGATGGTTCGAAAGGTCGGGACATTTTATTTTGACAGTTTTGATTGCTCTGCATATCTGCGTCTTTTGTGTGACGTGCCTGGTGTGCATGCATCGTGCGAAATGCTGAACAGCTATGCTATATGAACGATGGCGTATCTCATTACCATTATAAGCCGTGAAATGACCAAAGGGTTCGACTGGCGAGCCGTTGTATAAACAGTTGCCAAGCTGCCGATGAATGCGGCTTCTATGCACTCTCATGGTAGCCTGTCGTCTGTTGTGCTGCACCCTGTGCTGCTACCACGAAATGCCGTGCTCTTCATCTCGGACATGCTTCTCAGATATGGCTGGCTGGCCTCTATGGATCCGGCCCTCTCGTTTCCGCTAGAACCTTGGCTTGCCGGTTTCGTCCCCTCCTTGTGGGTATCTATCTGGGGCCAGGCGACAAGGGCGTTCGTCGTGGCCTTGCCATTTTTTCGTTGCTTCTTAGCTTTCCTTGCCGCGACGGGCCACCTACTCTCATGGACCCTGTCCCAATGCCTTGGACAGACTCGTCCACCGCGTCTCGGCCGAGGCCACGAGCATGTGCAGCTCCGCGGGCCCCACGAGCACGCCGCCGCTCTTGGACAGCGCGCGCACCACTGTGGCCTTGCCCGTGCCGTTGGAGCAGTCGACCACGGCCGTCACCGTCTCGTGGCACTGGCCCTCCTCGAGCCGGTCCGGGTCGTGCAGAATCCAGTGCGCACCGGCCACCTCGCTGCTCTGTCTCTGCTGCCGTTTCCGGTTTTCGACGCACACCACGGCCGTCGACGCCACGGGCAGGCCACGCAGCGTCAGGGGCGGCGCGGGCGTCACCGAGGGCGGGGAGCAAACGACGCGGTCGCGGTCGGCGTCCCAGCGGGCGTGCGGCAGGTGTGTGTCTCGGAGGGCGGCAACAATGGCGGCCCAGGCGGCGTCCAAGGGGTTGCCGTCAAAGGAGAGGAAGAGCAGGTCAATGTAGAGCGTCCAGTACGCCTTGATCTCGGGTGTGCGAGGGGAGCCGTCGCCCTCTGCGTCTGCCGGCTCCTCCTCATCAATGTCCATGTCTCCGTCAGCACCATCGGCCGCCCGCCGCGGCGTGTGCCAAATCTTGAGCGCCTCGGCGTCGACGAGGCCGCTGCTGTGCAGCAGGGCGTACAACCGCGTGCTCAGCACCTGGGCCAGCACGGACGGCGGGCCGCCGGGCAAGAACTCGGGCGCACTGCCGGTCGCCAGCTCGAGGTTGGGCACCAGCAAGTCGTAGTCGCGCAGCTGGCGGCGGTTGTCGGCCTCCACGGCGTGGTCCGCAGAGCGGTCGGCCGTGACGGCGGATGGACGGAACTGGGGGATGTTGGCGACAGGCAGGATCTCGCCACGCACGCCGCAGATAACGCGCGTGCGGCCGAGACGGACGGCGGCGCTGCCGTGGGCCTGCGAGAGCGAGCCGGTATGCACGTCAAAATCGCGGGACTCGTCGGTGGCACGGCCGTTTGGTCGGGTGCCTTGTTGGCTCTGGTTGTTTTGGCCGTCGCGCGCGAGGTTGGCGACGAGGAACTCGTGCGGTGCGATCTTGGCGAAGATGGGGCGGGCCAATTGGCCCTTTTGTTGTGCCATTGCGAGGCTGCGTGTGTGTAGTCGAGGATGACAGAGGATCGGGAGAGCAAGGGCGAATGCAAGGCTGAGGCTCGCCGTGTCTGTCGTACTGGTGCTTGTCGACGATACTTTTACAAGGCAAAAAATTTTGGGCGATAAGAACGAGCTCGATAAAGAGCTGGACCTAGGCTATTGGGAGCTAGCTCTTAACAGCGTTACGCCTCCAGCACCAAACATGCCTGTATTGGTGGCGCGTTAGTGGGGTTAGAGAGCCAATGAATTGAGACGTTAAGGTGTGTTACATCAGATATAACCATGGATCGACGAGAGCCTTAATTCAAGATGCATCTCCAGATAAAATGTAGTCGGCATGGTATACGATGTATTAACTATCTATAGTTGACAGAAAGAAAATCAAAATGTGTCTCTGTAACCGGAGAATAAACAGAACGCCTGAACGTTATCCAAAGGAAATAGAAATGTACAGAGGAAGAAAAAAGATCTGAAAACAGGATGCAACACAACCAAATGAAATGCAAAGCAAGGCCGAATATGCAAGGTAAAAGTCGAAATATGCAAATGTTCCACGTCCTTCGGCCGAGTGATCCGGCGGCTCCTGATGCCGTGGTTTACCAGCGCAGGTCGCGCCACCGAGATATCTTTCGTCGGATGCCGAGTGTGCTGGGGCCGCCAAAGCTGCCCCTGTCGTGTGCCGGTGCATTTCCACTGTTGTTGTGGGGGCTTTCGCCTACGGCCGTTCGGCGTAGGTCACTCTCCTCGTCCGGAATCTCCCTCGACGCCGACGGGCGTGCCGATCCGCCTGGATCTTTGACCAGCTTCCGCGGTGGCGGCCGTTCACCAGACGCCGACGGTCTTCGGGCGTCTGCTACCGCAAGCCATGAACGGTGTAGATTTCGTTGTGAACGCACGGCGTAGTAGCGGTGCTGCTGGCTCTGCAGACCACTGGTACCTCCGCCGCCGCCGCCGCCGCCGCCGCCACTATTGCTTCCGCACAGGCTGCTTCGGTCAGGGCCGTTTAGGAGCACCTCGTACGCCGACGCGGATGCGGACGCGGATGCGGATGCCAGCGACGCAGATGCAAGGCTGGCTTCACGATGGAGCGGCTCGAACGCGGCGGAGCCTGCATATCCGGCTTGTCCGGGACGTCCGGGGAGGGGCGAGAAATGGTCGCCTGTGCGCCGGACGAGCTTGGCACGAGGAGCCGGCGGATCCGGCGGATCCTGTGTCTGTGCCTGTGCCGGCGTCGGTGTCTGCGACCGGCCAAAGAGGCGCGGCATTGGATTGGAAAGTGTATGCATTGCTTCTATGCTTGGTATCGGCGCATCCGCAGGTCTCGTTGGATCTCGAACAGGTCGGATGTCCTTGAGAGCGTGTTTTTCATCTATCGCCTGGGAGGGCTCGGATGGGGGTGGTGTGCACGGTGAACGGTGACGCAAAAGACTCAAACAACCACAAAGAACACAGAAACGGGCTGCGAACTAACAAAAGCGCACCAGAGACACATGGTCACGTCAGCACAGGCAGCTCAACACGTTCGCGGTCGGCGATTCACTGGTCCGTGATGAGTCGAGTCAGTTCCCATAAGGCAGTGGCCAATAACAATTACAAGGCTGGGAAGGGACAGTAAGGCAACAACAAAGAGAGGGGCAAAATTGGGAAGGAACGGCTGCTCGCACAGCTTGTGCTGAGCGTCGATTGGGCCCTGGCTGGCCTTTGACTTTTACCCCGGAATCTCGCCTAGCGCGTAACCCCTCATTCCACTGTTGGAAAATGCAGGACGCAGGGACCGCAGCAGACAACAAGGCAGGAAGGTAAGATGGCGGAAAAGCATAGAATGCGAAAATGCACAGAGACTATGTCGAACTTTTTACTACTGAAACTGCTCCTGCCAAACAACGCCCAAGCTCCAAGGTGCAGTGTGCAGTTTCCTGTTTGGCCCAGCCTAGGAAATAGCCTCGACGCTCCTTCCAATCACTTCAAAATCGCGGACTAGACAAACGGTTGTCAAGGTTGCTCCTTGTGCTCCTTCCCTGATAGGAGGCTGGGCTGACTCTTATAGTTCCTGTTATGGGGGCGCAGGTGCGTAAGCAATCTATTTTTGAATGATGTTGCAGTACGGCATAAATTGCAGACACAAAAACAACGCGTTTTTCTCACCTTTGCGCAGGCAGATTGATTTACCTTACGAGGCCCCTACCCTGTGCCCGCTCATTGTCCATCCGCAACCTCAAGGGTATTATTAGTACTATTATACCCACCAGCCGCCCGCCGACCACCACACTCGGTTGCATCCTTGTTTGAATAGACAATAGGGAGGCGCGGTTGGTCGGGTACACCCTGCAGCCCCTGTGCGGGGAAGTGCTGCTTTGGCACATGGAAAGAGTTTTAGCAACTAGCCAAAAAAAAAAAAAAAAAAAAAAAAAGGAACAAAAGGTAACTGTATTGCTCTTGCCTCATGTGGCCCATTCCAACATGTGTGTTGACTTACCCCACTGCTGGTGATATTCAGGAAACAGGAAATGCACCTTCCTTTGTTTCTTTCTTTCTTTCGCGTGTGCACTTGCCCCTGTTAGCAATTTCTCTGGCTGAAGTGTGACTGCCTTCCTCTTCGGTCGCCTTAGCTTTGTCTTAAAGCGCCTTGCAAGACTCGTGCTTTCTCTATTCCCTCTTTGCCCCGAGGTATATATGAGGTGTGATTGGACTGACAACATCGTTCTTTCCGAAACCCCCTAAAATTCCTTCCTAAAAATCCTTCCCAAATTCAACAAAGACATGCTACTTAAGCACAAACTGCAAGGGCGTCAGGGCACACATACGACAGAAAACGTTCCTCGACGCCTCTTTCCGTCTCCTACCCTTGCAAATGTGCGTTCCTCCCTCATCCTGCTCGGTTAATGGGTCTGCCTTCCTTTCTCGATCAGGAAGGCGCAATTCGGACAATCTAATTCTGGAGAGGCCAGCGTGTAAGTGGATGAGCCACAGAAGTGCCGGATACGGATATTCCTGTTCCTCCCACAAACCCGCACTGTACCGCTAATACGTTTCTAGAAGGTCTTTTGTCTAGCGCAAAGTTTAAACGGACATACTCCCTGTTTGATTTCGGTTTTACGGCATGCTCCGTACATGTACACATGCGTCGCGCACCTCGCGTTCGCTTCTCCCATTATCGCAGTTGTTCCTGTTTACAGCCCATATGGCAGCTACTGCGAAACCCAGAGGCTAGAGTGGCAGGGGCCCATTGGCTCCTTCCCACAACGAATAAGCTACATGCGGAGTTTCGAGATGTTTGCTCCTTCCGCAGACGACAAGTACCTGCAACTTTGGTTTTTTTGTCGTGGTATGACCACTGGGCAGTTAAGCCCGATTACTCCTTCCTATATCGTAATGTCAATCGCTGTTCTTGTTGATGTCCGACTTCTTCGTTTGCCTCCAGAGCAAATGTGGGGAAGGGGAATGTTTCTCTCTCTCCTGAGCTTTTCCTCCTTCTCTCCACCCCCCCCCCCCCCGGGCCGTACATTCAGCACACAACAAAATGCGACATGTCTCTTAACCTCGGACAACGGATGGACTATTCTGTACGAGCTGCGAGCCCAGAGCATCGAAATCCCAGGGTCCCTTCTGCGCTTCTGCGGGCCAGACAAAACATCTTCCTTAGTTGAGCTCCTAATGTTACGGCAGCATCGCACTGCTGCATCCTTTTCGTCCTATTCCTCTCGACTTGCGTCGAAGTCAGCAAATATTACAACCTCAGCTGCGCTTTGTATTCTTTCAGCCTCGCTGTCGTTCCGGAGGGTCGTCCTCTCTTATTCATTGAGGAACGACGGCACGACATCCTAAAGATAGACCAGAATGGTTCCCAGTCTTGGCGAGCTGTTATCACGCTCCTACTCCGTACAGTGCGCACGCAGTCTTGGCGAGCTGTTATCACGATCCTTCAGCGGACGGTGCTCACGCTGTCTTGGCGAGCTGTCATCACACTCCTTCAGAAGACAGCGCTCGCGCACCATTGTTCCGTCCACTTTTGCTCCTTGGCTTCCATGGCTCGTATTTTTTCACTGGTCGTTACGGCGGCGCAAAGTATAGATAAGCAACTTTTTATCTAACAAAATAATATGAAGCACGAAAACGTCGCACATCGCTCGATAGCATCGCTCACGAGCGGTCCAGGGCTCTTCCAAGGAACTGCGCAACATCCCAACTGTTCTGTATGATGAGACTGGCGTTTTTCGACTTCTGGTCCACCCCATGTCAGACCTCTGATTTCTATCCGTCGTCAAGGCGTTAGTACCACGAGGTGGAGGAAAGTGGAACGACTCAGCGGTCCGAGGAGACGAAAGAAGCAGGCTCAGAGCACGCAACAATTTTATCTTCATTCACTCCTTTTCATGCAGCCCCACAGAGTGCCAACTCCGCGAAAGCGATGGAGATTCACAGCCAACCATTTCTCGCCAAACCCCATCTGTCTCCACCCACACACATCCTGCTAGTTGCCGATCGAAGTGGCTCGAGGAGACACCGCTTCCGTGTGTCCAGCACGATTTCCTGCGCTCTTTTGATCCTCCGCTTGCCCACAAGAGGAAATCAGAAAACAAAAGACAGCTAACGATCTGGCGAGCGAACAGATACATTCAGCTAGAAGTCGACCCAATATGCGCTTCCCTGCTGTCACCTGTCCGCTTTGAAATAAGATGATCACATAAGACCCTGCACCCCGTAGGGCTAGCACCACCATTCGAAAACCATTTTTACTGCCTTATCTGCCGCCCCTTTTGACCAGAAACAGCGCTGTTGCGTCTGCCATTTGACCCAGGTCTTAGCGCAGAATTTAAGAACCGAGGCTGATGCAGTGGGCGTTTATACAAAACGCCAAAGTCGGGCAAAACCGCACTGTTTACTATGGGTATGAAGAGCTTTTAAGATGGGCCTTCCATGAAGAGAAGCATCGAGGTGTGTCTCTTCCCTCCTGCCGTTGGCTTACTGTTCATACGTATATCGTTTCGTGTGCAAAGAGCGTCAATTCCTGTGGCAATTAACCCGGTTACAAAGTTAGCAAAGCACTGGCAGTTTGTCTCCAAACGGCTCGCACAAAGCAATCAGGCACATTCCCGACGTTCTTTCTATCGGAAGTATAAATTTTGCAGTGTCTATCCTCCCATCTACTGCCAAGCAGGTCCAAGCAAAGCATCAAGACAAAGACTGGAACCGCAGCCCAAAATTCATGCCAGATACGGGCACTTTCTGTGAAGGTCACGGCCAGTCTGTTTCACTGATAACAGTGGCGAGCGAATCGGTCTGCAACTATGGCAAGTCTGCGCCGGAGCAATGCCGATCAATTTGAAAATCAACAACGCAAAGGGATAATAGCCCGCGAAAACGAAAAAGTGTGGTGCAGAGTACCACTACACAAGTACGAGGTTTGAGCGCCCTAGTTGCCTGGTTCTCGCTACGTCCCCGTATCAGCCCCGTGGATTGAATATGGGTATCCCATCAGGTAATTTGGGCAACTTCCTCTGCCAGCTACAGTCCAATGACAGCCTTTGACCCGTCCGTTCTTCCTGCCTCCTTTTCAAGCAGGACGCTATGCTGCCCCTATCTGGCTTTGCTGTCTGAGACATCCATTTTCCTTCCAGGCGTAAAAGGCTCGACTTGCTACGGTCTTGGCAAACCATTTCAGAAACTCTTGTTTTCTACATGGTTATCCGGGATCAAAGGATGCCGCATGTGTTCCCTCGAAGTAACGTTGGATGGGGCAAATTGTCGGCTGCACGATTCAGTGGTTGGCAAATAGGACTCAATGATGGCGGATGCAGTCAGGTCATGCCTCCTGATGTAGATTCCTTCCAATTGCGACCGTGCCTCTTGGCTTTACACGCAAGCAAGGTCTCTCAAATCGATACGCTGCATGTGGTACAGAGTACTTTTGTACTTTCTAACAGAACGACATACGCCAAGTCAGATTCCGGCACTGGTAAGCCGACTTGGCTACTGATACCAAATGCTTGTTAGACTTACTAACAAGCATTTTCCAAGCCCGGTCCAAGCATTGCCCAACAAATTACCCAAGATCTCAAAATTTGGCACTTTTCGTTTTCACTATTTGAAACATTAGAGCTTTATGTTCGCTCTATAGTCTGAGCAATTTACTTCGACAAGCGGGACAAGAGAGTCATACTGTTATGGCACACTGCTCTCCGCACACTGACACTGCTCTATCTGGCCCGGGAGACGGCAAGCGGAAAATAGCAATCGACACACGGCATAGCTTCGAGGTGCTAGC